CCCTCTGAAGGTTAGCTGAAAAATCAACTCACAAAAGGTAGGTTAACTAGAGATAGGCATACAAATTTATTAATGTGTACATAGTGTGAATGGAAAAGAACCCAAACTCTGTAAAATAATTTAAAGAGGTTCATTCTGAGCCGAGTATGTGTGAACATGGCCTGGAGAGCCATGCCCAAGAAGCCTTAAGCAAGTGGTCTCGCTGTGGTTGGGTTACAGTTTTATTTTATACATTTCAGGAATTACCTGTAAACCCATAAATCAATTGGAAGGCATACATTGCTTTGGCCTGAAAAGGTGGAACATCTCAAAGTCATTACAGGTTATAGGTGGGTTTAAAGATTCCTTGATTTGTAATTGGTTAAAGAAATGAAGCTTTGTCTAAAGGCTTGGAGTGTTTTAAGTTAAGATAAGGACTCAAGTGATCTGGTAAGTAAACTGAGGACCTGCAGGTGTGGTTTAAGCTTTGTCTTGCGTAGCCTTAGGTCTGTTAATGAGTTACAAAGGATAGCCCCAAGAAGGGAAAGGGGGGAGTCCACTTCTTCAAGGCTTCTTGGGTGTGGCTCCAGATCATGGTCCTCAAATTGGCTCAGAATAAATCTCTTTAAATTATTAAAAAAGAAAAGAAGGGAAAGGGGCATGTTGAGGCCTGTCTGTCCTCCCTTCTCATGGCCAGCAACTCAGATTTAGGGTGTTTCTGAGGTGCCCTTGGCCAAGAGGGGGTCCGTTCAGTTGGCTGGGGGGTTTAAAAATTATATTTTAGTTCACAATGGGGAGACTCACAGAGTGATTACCCACCCCCCTAATAGAGTTCATAAGTTTATTTTACCATTCTGGCAAAACAGGGTATGGTGGTAAAACAAGTATGGGAGAAGGGAGAAGAGGAATTCTGTTGAGGGGCAATAAAGGATTACTAGGGAGAACGAATGGATGGAGAACAGAGAATAACTTATTATATAAATAGTTCTCTTTGAGAATTGAATGAACCTGAGAGACAGATATTACTTTGTGAAAGGGTCAGTTCAGATGTGATTACATCCTTAGTCTTATAGGGAGGTGAAGAAAAAAAAACAGTTGTTCTTTTTGGTGGGTCTGAACTTTAGTCAGAAAAAGGAACTTTAGAGAACAACTTTATCCTGGCTTTGGCAGAGTCTGTTGGGGAGAAGGGAGGTCAGAGAGACATGAGTCTTCTTCAGTTCAGCATGTCAAAGCACCATACTTTGGTGTATTGATTTCTGAGCCCCAACAGCACGCACTAGAATGTTCATAGCTAACATAAAGTAATAACTAAAGAACTAAATAAAATCCTAAGCCCCCTTGCTGACTGAATGGACCACCTATTGGCCAAGGGGACCCCAGAAAAACCTTAAAACTGAGATCCTGGGCATGAAGGGAAGGGAGGTCAGATATGGTTCTTCATACCCCCTCCCTTTTGGAATTTCTTTTCTTTTCTTTTCTTTTTTTTTCCAAATTCTCTGATGAGATTTTACCTTTTGGAGTTTAGATATTAATACAACAATTGACCAGCATTACCATTAAAACAAAGATCGTAAGACTGACAAAATAGACTCTTTGTGACAATAAAATACTAAATTATTAAGAGGACCTAAGGCCACACAGAGGAAAGTTTAAATTACCTGCAGGCCGTCAATTTACTTAAGAGATCACTTGAGTCTGGGTGTATGTCTGGTGGCTCGTCTCTAATTAACAGACTTCCTTAACTTAAAACATTCCAAGCCTTTAGACAAAGCTTCATTTCATTAACCAATTACAAATCAAAGAATCTTTAAACCCACCTATAACCTATAAGCCCCTGCTTTGGTATGTC